TATATACCAGAGACATTTTATGGGGTAGAGTGGGGAATGGGATCAAAAACTGTGGGGATAGAAATGCACTGGACTATGGTGATGGCACATGGGTGATTTGGTGATGGGAAGCCCAAGGGGATTACAACTGAGATGGAAAAATGCACGAAATGATGTAACAATAAACTATTATTGTAAAATAAATAAGTCTCTCCTGGTGAGAGTCTCCAAACTAGTACATTAGGCTTGAGACTATCTATTATTTTTCAATTGAAACATGAATGGGGGAATGAAGTGAGGCAAATTAATAATCTAAGGTGAATAATTAAAATACTAAAGTCTAGGGACATCCTAGTAGTGCAAGGCGTTAAGTCACTGCACTATCCAGCTATCCACAGACACTGCAGCCAGCTCGTGTCAATCCCTGGCCAGGGAGCTGACACACATGGTGCAGCAGACCTCTCCTGTCATGCCTGCTGCTCCCCTCAGCAGTGTAGTTCAATAAATCTGCCAGTCCCGCTCCCCATTCTGTCTCTGGTGAATTATCTCACACACCTCTCTCCTACACCTCTGGCTTGCACCCCAGATCTTGTATGCATAAATAAATAAATCTTTTAAAAAAAAGGAAATAAGTTCTGACATATGTTACAATAGGAATGTAAAATAAGCCAGTCCCAAAAGTTCAAATATTGTATGAGGTATCTAGAGTAGTCAATTCCATAGAGACACAAAGTAGGATGGAGCAGCCAGGGGCTGAGGACAGAGAGGAGAGAGAGAGTATTGGAAGGGTACAAAGTCTCTGTGTCTGAAGATGGAGAAGTTTGGAGATGGATGGTGCCACAGGTCACACAACAATGTGCATACACTTAATGTCATGCAACACTGAAAATTTTCTGTTGTGTTTTGCCACAATAAAAATAATCCTACAAAAAAATGGAAATGGAGAATTGGTACACGACACCACTTGCATGAACACAATGCATAGTGAAAGAATCCAGACACAAAAGCCAGCACTGTGGGACTCCACTGATATGAACAGACAAATCCAGAGATGGAGAGAAAATAAGTAATTGCCCAGGAAGGAGGGGTGGGGGGGGTGATGACTGCTAATTGGGTACTGGGTTTTCTTTCTGGGGAGATGGGAAAGTTCTGAAATTCAATAGTGGGAATGGTCCCATAACACTGAATACATTAAAAACCACTGAACAATACATTTTAAAAGAGGTAATTTTCTGGCATGTGAATTTTAACAAAATGGTTATATTTAAAAGTTCAGTAGTACAAAAAGAAATGAAGCCCTTAGGCTGCTCTGGAGCACCTACTTCTGGGAAAGGTCTCCGCAGGTGGTTCCATCTCAGAAGTTTCAGGTATGCATAATTCTGGACAGCAATGGGATTTATCCTGGGAGCGTCCCCAGAGCCAGCAGCCCCTTCCCCAGAGGGCAGGGAATTTTTATACTTCTGATTCATAAGGTCATCTGCAGCTTCTTCCAGCCACTGGGTGACAAAGTCCAGGGAATCTGAAAAACAGGCTGAATGTGTTACTATGGCACTCGGGGGATGACCAGGAAAAGCGTGTTGGAGGTGTGACACAGAACACAGGACGGACTTTGGAATCAAACAGAACTCATTTCAAATCACATCACCAACTACTGTGAGCAACTGCAGGCAAGTCATGAGCTGTCTGGATACCACATTCCCAACATAAAGAAAAGCTTACCATCCTTCATCAGCTGTCGTGAGGATGAAGCAAGGTAGTAAACACAAAGCACCAGACGTTGCCACCTTTGCTCCCTTCTCCCCAGTCCTGACCCCTGCAGGAGTCCTACTCTGTGAGATGACAGACATCCCTGCCCAGAGACAGACGGGATGCAACTCTGGCTAGAGAGACCCAAGGTGAAGTACCCCCACACTACAGAGGAAGCTTTTCCTTGCCTTGATATTGTTTCCTATCTATCTGGCTGACTTTGGGCCCCAGGGAAAGGAGGTATCCAGGCCTCTGATGAGCATTCCACAGTGTCAGGGCACTTTCAGGGAACCCTCCCTACTGATTTTCATCCATCCTCATGCTCCCCCTGCTTTTCTAACCTGAGGAATGCCCCAGGAACTCTAAGGGATAGCAGAGAAAGAAGAAAGATGAGGTTCTTACACACAGTACTTGATCAAAAATTGCCGTAGTTAGATCCTGAGAAATCTTGCCCCATAAAACCAAGTGGGCAGCTGAGGTCACAGCTGGAGTCCACTCTTTACGGATGCTAGAGGACGTGCCTCTGGCTCTGTTAACAAACTAACTGCACCAAGCCTTTGTTCTGAGCCTCACTCTTCCTTTAGCCCTCTCTGCAGCCTCCCACTTTTGGGGAGACATGGGTTTTTTGCTGTGAGAAATATCCACTACAATCTGACTGATCAGTCTTGTTCTGGTGCTTCATCCTTCCCAGGAGCCCAGCTGTTGGCACGCAATTCTCACACAACACTGACTGAGCATGTGAGCTGATCAGTCAATTCTGGCTAAGTTGCTCAAAAGCTCTTTCCACAAATGTAAAACAGGGTTAAGAAATCCCAGACTTGTCTGGCCATTTCTGACCCTTTTCCATGGGTCCTGACAAGAAGGTGCTTTAGGCTTGTGGCGGCTTTCAGGCCTTGCTTTGGGCCAATCCCTTTTGGGTAGACTTTTACCCAAAAGAGGATTGGTGACTTCAGGTGTTTGATTTTATATTTTAGAATTTATATTCTTTGCCATCTGTGTTGTATACTCGCTGTATTAAAGCTCCTTTTCATTAATGTCTTAAAAAAAAAAAAGAAAGAAATAGAGCCCACTTGCTAGGCTTACTGAATGGGTTAAATATAATGTTAGATTATAGAGCATGATTAGCAGATCCACTTTTCTTCCTCCTATTCTGCTCTATCAGACTTCTCTGTCTGGGGCTGGATGAGCCACCGCTCAGGTCACTGAAGTCAGTATCAGGCCAGACCACCCAATCTACCCAAGGGCTTCATGCTCACCTAGTGAGCAGCAAGGTTAGAGGTTACCCAGAACTCAGGAAAAGTTAAATCTAAGGACCACTATTTACCCAACACAGCAGCAGCCTTTCAGAGGCCAAAAAAAGGACCCTAGAAATGCCACAGCATTTTGGATTGCATGGTCATCTGTTTTCCTACAGTCATCTGAGAGAATCATAAAAATAAGCCTTGTTCTTGGTTGTTCTGAAACCAGAATATGATACATATAAAATATAAGCAAAGTAGAATTTTTTGATTGACCTCATAGAAAGGAGTTAAGTTAAGCAGTCATAGAAGTTTGCCATGTTTTTAAAATCAAGATCCCACTATAATTTACCTAAAATTTCTATTCTTTGTTTTAATTAATTAATTTTAACTGAGGTACTATTGGGGTACCCCACTAAAGTTCTATTCTTATATCTTCTTTGACGTTTCTATTCTTATATCTCTGTCTGTCTTGTTTGTCCATTAAATTTTCTTTTGTCTTGTGCTTCTCTGTCATCATTTTGTTTTGAAAGCAGTATCATGCCGTTACATGCCAGCCTACTAAATGAGAAAGCAAAGGCAACAAAAGAACACCACAAAACCAGAGACATACTTGGCTGCTTCTCCAAAAGCTCTTGGAACTTTGTCCTCTCATAGTCCACCGACTGCTGCATGAGGTGGGGCCGGATGCTGCTGACAGCGAAGTTCGCCATGTCTACTTTCATCAGGTCCAACACAGAAAAAATTGCTCTGAAAGAAAAGAGACAGAAGAGTTTACTGTGAAGTAAACAGTCCCCAAAGTAAATAGAAAGGACAGCAAGACAAGGTAGAAAAGTCCTAAGACAGTAGATTAAGAAAAACAAATTCAGGGCCCTCCCTAAGGGCACAGGGGTTAAAGTCTCAGCACTATCAAGCTAGCCCCCAGCCACTGAGGCATAAATTCAATCCCAGGCCAAGGAGCTGACCCCAATGGCACAGCAGACCTCTCCTGACTCGCTTGCTGCTCCCCTCAGCAGTGTGTCTCAGTAGATCTGCCTATTCTGAATCCTCTCACCCCTTGCACCTCTAGCCTACACCCCAGTTTTTGTATGCATAAATAAGTAAAAAAAAAAAACTTTAAAAAATAAAAGAGAAACAAATTCAGGAAACACAAAACTTAAATAATGTTTGAAAAGATCATACGCTGCTATCTCCACTCACTCGCTCTTTGCCCCCCTAGCAGAGAGAATTCCCCCAATGCCACATTCCAGAACATAGTCTTGGCTCTCATGGCAGCCACAGAGGAAAGATGGAGTCCAAGGCCTGAGATTAACTGCAGGGAGCTCCCCACCTTGTTTCTACTCTCACTCACCTATGTTTATTCACTATCCTAGCAAAGAAAGAAAATTAACACTTTTCATTCTCCTCTCTTCTTGCCCCACTGTCTCTTAGTTGTATGCTCTAGTTCTAGTGGCATAATTGCTATGGCACACTATAAATGTAGCCAGTGGGCAGCCTGGACTAACACCAACGATGCCATCAACGCTGCCTGCCACATACCATAAGCACTCTCCCCAGAGGCTGGGAGCAGGCAAGTGACCTACTTGCATGAAGTACCTAAGGACTCGACTCAAGGTACAGGCTTGGGTGTGGCCCTACACAGATGCAAGGAACAGGCTCGAATGTCTTCCATGCCCTCTGGGATGGACTGAACATCATATGACAAAATAACTCATTCACACAATTGGGCACGAGAAAAGATACACAATCTGAGGAATGGTTTGGGGTCATTCCCCTGCTATTCTGTCCATCACCCAAATACATCAAACAGCCCATTTCCTGCAGGACATTCTGTCTCTCCCAAAAGCCTCCTCACCCACCAAGAGAAAGCGAAACAATGGGAAGCTGCCAAGTGGTAGTCACTGACCAGAAGTAACCTACAAACACATTTTGTGCACAGGCAAGGTTTTTAAACACCTCCTTCCAGGTTCTCATGTAAAAAACCCAAAGATTTGGCAAGAGGGTCATATTCTATCACAGCCCAAACCTGCCAGTGCTGAGAACCATTGGCTGCCTCCTTTAGATTGGGGGTGTGCACCCAACCTGCCAGTCTTCCCAGCCCCTTCTCTTTACAGCAGGAATCTGAGTTTAGGATGGTTAAACACAAGCTATTCAGAGGACTTTCTTCCCAGGAATTCCTCATTTAACTTGGTTACATCATAAGGTTTTATTTACTAATTTATTTATAGTATCTAGCACTATGCCTAGCACATAATAAGAACTTGCTGAATGAATGAACAAATCAATAACTATTTTAGAAGATATTTTTAATGCTTTATGAACCCTTAGGGAACCTTGCAATGCAGGGTTTTTTTGTGTGTATGTGTGTGTGTCTGTGTGTGTTAAACATCAATAGCATAATAGTATCAAGAAAGCTGGAAATGAACTTTTTTGCTTATAAACCTTTTAGAAAGCAGGCCCTCCCTGGTGGTGCAGTGGGTTAAAGCACTGCACTGAGAAGCTAAAGCCAGTTCAGCATGAGTTCGATTCCCGCCTGCCCCGGAGGTGACCACATGGTGTGGCAGACCTCTCCTGACCCGCCCGCTGCCCCCCTCAGCAGTGTACTTCCGTAGATCTGCCTGTTCTGCCCCCCCCACTCTGTCTCTGGTGAAGCCTCTCACAGCCCCTGAGCCTCTGGCCTATACCCCAGTTCTGTATGTACAAATAAATAAATCTTTTTTTAAAAAAAAAAAAAAAACTTTTAGAAAGCAATTTGGTAACATGCAATGAGTCTTGAAACTTTATATATCTTGGCATAGTATCCTCCAATTTTATGAATATTTCTCTAGGAAATAACCTAAAATATAGAAGAATGTTTTATGCACAAAGATGTTCATGACAAAGTTAAATAGTAAATAGCTATACATAATCTAATTGTCCATCTTTATAAACAAATGTTTGATTTTATCCTGCAAATAAGTATTTTAAAGCCACTGAAAATGTTAATGGGAGTTAAAAAAAGAACAGAGTATAAATTGGTTATAATAGGATGTCAACATAAGAGATCCTTGTGCTGTTTGGTATCTTGTATCTAGTGGTAGATAAACAAATTTACACAAGTGGTGCTGTTAACACACACACACAAATACATGTAATAAAAACAGGAAATCTATAAGAGATCGGTGGGTTGTAAGAATGTTATTAGTGGGGGAAAATGGATAAAGTATATTGTATTATTTCCTATAACTCCACTGATTACCATTTTCTCAATGATACTTTCAGTTGGATAAATTAAATTATTACAATAATATTAAGAAAATTAGGCCTGCAAAAAAAGAAAAGAGAGAAAAGAAGGCCTGTAATGTCCACTAGGAGGAGGATTTTTCAGGTTCAATGGACGTTCAGACTTCTAAAACTATCATAAGGGTCAGGTTTGGCATCACCCAGTCATGCCCCTTGCCAACTGGTCAGCACAGAGCATTTGTCTTCAGCAAGTTATGGAACCTACCTTGCTTGAGCAGAGAGCTCAGACACGTGGTGTCACCTGGCTGAAATTTTTATGTCTCCATATGTTTGTAACAACTCTATGGCAGGTCTTATAGGGGCGTACCCAGTTATAAAGGTCATCCCATGGAGGAATTCCAAAGTATAATGTTCAATCCAGAATTTATAGTTTTGGATTTATATTTTTCATTCCTTTCAGTCCAAATGCAACTTACCAATCAAAGATCATTTTCAAAATATTTTAATATTGACCATATGCTATTTAATAGGGTTATGTAAAAGCTAAATTTCTCAATTGTCTTGGTTGTATTTTGATAATATAGGATAATGTCTACATTCTTAGGTGGTACTTGCTGAAACACTGAAGGGTAAAATGTCATTATTTTAGCCATTAATTCTCAGAATGTTCAGGAGGGATAATACATGCTTGTACATAGTCACATATATAAATATATTAAAAACTGACAAAATGTTAGAAACTGGTGGATTTACATAAGAGATATACTAGTACTGATTGCCTGTTTTTGCAACTTCTCTGTAGGTTTGCAATATAATTCTATATATATAGCTATATATTTTTTCAGTCAACATTTTATAAACCTACAGAGAAGTTGCAAGAACAATACAATCAATCGCTATCTATCTAGGTATCTATGCCAACATGATAAAAATGTTTATGCATTTGGATGGTAAAATTATGGGTGTTTTTCTTCTTCCTACTCTTCTATATTTTACAAAATGTTCGCTTTTTAAATGTTTTCAAGATGCATGAGTACCTACACTTAAGAAAGTCTACATCTGAAAATAGAGTCAGTAGTTTAATTAACACAGTTCCCATACCTGAAAAGGGGCACTATTTCCTTAATGTCCTTTAGTTTCTTAACTTCCTCATCTCGAGCAGGTGCACACAGTGTACCCATCATGCCAGTAATGAATTCTGCCAGCTTGGAAATGTCGAGGGCCCCATTCTCAGCCTCCTGCTTTATCAGGTCCAGATCCAAGACTTCTGTTATCTGGTTTCTCAGTCTAGTGTGACCAGGCAGCAAGAAAGATAAAAGCGTCTACAAGAGAGCAGACCAAGTTTAATCAAAGTTTTCTAGTCGAACATCATTCTCTATTATAAGCAATGGAGTTTATGACTGCCCAATTAAGGATTTACCAATTGTTACTGTAATAATGCATCCATTTTAACCACTTACTCAATAAATCTACAGAAAAACACATTTACAAATCATATAGAGTAGCCATTTAAGCTGCCACTTAAGCTCTAGGTAGCAATCAACTGCACACTAGATGAAAATATTGTTATAAGTGAGAAAAGGAAAACATGAGTTAACATGAACCTGTGAGCCAACCACAGATGCCCATTTCCATGGATACATTACTCCTTTGATACTACAGCTAAAGGTACTGCAGAAACAATCCTACCTTCCACTTAATGTCTTCTCTATCCCACAGACTGAATCACTTTTTGGCCAAAGTGAACGTGTCCATACCTATTAAAAATTTTATAAGTCACCTATAGTTTGTAAAATCACTGTTTAAAGCATTGTTGTTGTTGTTGTTTTAAATGAATCTTTTCTTCATTTACAAGAGAAATGCCGTTTGTTTGAAAATTTTAAAAGACTAGTAAGACAAAAATATTTTCTATAAAGTCACATTTCAAACATAATTTAACTTCTTGATCCTTCTATCTCTTTAGTCTTCTTGGCACAAAACAAAAAGGAGTTTGAAACATACTTTTAACACACCAGAAAGCTCCACAATGTGCTTTTCCCCTCACCTCTTTGATCTCTCCAACAAGTTTGATGGCATGGTCATATGTTGGGGGGTCTTCACTTAGCTGGACACTCAAGCAATCCCAAAAAGCTTTATGTACAATGTCCTTGACTCTTTTCTCCAAGCTGGAGGCAAATGAAGGTGGGGCAGGGGAAAGTAAGACAAATAAAATATTTGTACTTCAAATAACTTTCAAAAGCACAAATTTTATGGGCTCAGGGTAAGAAATTTTTCAAATAAAGTGGGTGTAACAACAATTTCTCGGATATACTTAAGTCAATCACACACCTTATGTTACCTTTATTTAGTAATTTATTTCAGTAAATTCTTCTTAGGAAAGAATAACATTTTTTAAAGATTGGGGTACAGGCCACAGGTATGGGGAGTGAGAGGCGTCACCAGAGATAGAGTAGGGAGCAGAACAGTCAGATTGACTGAAATACATTGCTGAGGGGAACAGCAGGGGGCTGGGGGGGCATTAGGAGAGGTCTGCCACATCATGTGGGTCACCCCCTGGCTGGAGAACAAACTCGTATTGCAGTGGCTGCAATAGCTTCCTAGTGCTGCACTTTAACCCATCACACCCTCGGGGAGGGCCCAGGAAAGAATAACTTCTAAATAATATCACTGGTGACATAATCCAATTAACAGTAGGTTATAGTGCTGTGTGATAAAAATAATATTAGAAAGTTTAAAGCTGTTAATTTTTAGTTTCCTGATATCAGCAAATTTTCTAAGCAGTTTCAAGTAAAAATTCGGGGCCTTCCCTGATGGTGCAAGGGACTAAAGTGCAGCACTGGGGAGCTAGTCACAGAATTTCAGCACCATTTTGATTCCTTTGGGAGGGGGAGGTGACCCACATGGTACAGCAGACCTTTCCTGTGTCACTAGCTTCTCCCCTCAGTGAAGTACTTCATTCATTTGCCTGTTCTGTTCCCCACTCTTTCTCTGGCGAACCTCCTCACCACCCCTGCATCTCTGGCCTGTACCCCAGTTCTGTACACATAAATAAATAAATAAAAATTTTAAAGATTTATTTATGAATACAGAACTGGGGTACAGGCCAGAGCTGTAGGGGTGGTAAGCGAAATCACCAGAGACAGAGTGGGGAGCAGAACAGGCAAATTGACAAAGCACACTGCTGAGGGGAGCAGCAGGTGAGATAAGGGAGGTCTACTGTGCCCCACCTTCAGGGCTGGGGATCGAACGTGCACTGAAACAGCTGCAGCTAGCTTGCAGTGCTGAGCTTTAAACCAATGTGCAACCAGGGAGGGCCAATAAATAAATCTTTTTTAAAAAGTAAATATTGAGCATACATATGGGTGAAGAATTTTATTTTATAAAAACAGCCTATTTTCATGTGGCAGAATTGCTTAATTAAGTACCAAACTGAAAAGTACATGTATATATCTCATTAAAACTAGTTTCTGTTCATGAGAGTAAAACAAGTAATTCTTCATTAATGTGACAAAGTACTATCTTTGCAAAACATATAAGGAATGTCCATATTCACATTTAGAAGGCTCGTATGAGAGACACTATAGTTTGGCAACCCAGCAGCCATTCATTCTTTATTAATAGAATCCCAGTGTTGGTTTCATGACATTTTTGTGATTATAATGGGCAATGTTTTTTCTTTCTTATGACAATACATTTTAAAAGGCACACCTTTTAGTCAACAGACTTTTAGTGTCAATGTGACCTGGTGCTAGGGATACAAAGAATAATGCACAGTCTTTGTAGAGTTTACAGTCTGGTGAAGAACAAAAGTAAACTAACAACTGCAGTACAGTGTAAGAATCACAAAGAAATGAATAAAACAAAACAATGACACACAAGATGAAGCAGTTAAATCCTATGGAGTGGGGAAAAGCTGACCAAAAAATTTCCATGGGATATTTCAAGACCTTTTATTAACAATTTGAAGTTATCAGTGGTCCAGAGATCAACTGTCAAACTCTAGTGATTCCTAGTATGGTAATATATATGTGTATATATTTTAGCAACAACATAGAAAAAAAGAAATAAACATTTGAGTATGCTGACATTCATTAAGGAAAATATATCCCAAATTGGGAAACGGTATGGTGTTCTACCAAACGACTGCTCAGTGGCCTCCTTACCTGTCCTCTGGTAATTCAACTGGTTTAATCTGAAAATCTCCATTCACCACAATCTCGTGGGCTAGCGCCATGTTAGTGACTCCCTTCACAGTCTCTAGAAGCTCGTCCACAGTCACAAATCGAGGAGGACTAGCTGTAACAAAATCCCAGGGGAAAAGATGTGTTAATCTGTGTTAAAAACTTCTATCAAAACAAGAAGGCAGTGGTTCTGAGACCAGTAATCATTTTGGTCAAGCCTTTATCTATGAAAACATTTGGGCAGTTTCCAACAGTATAATATCACTTATGTCATGCTTATTTTTTCTTTTATCCTTGAAATCCTGAAAGCAGAGATCACTTACAATACACAATATATCTGTTTTGTATTTCTTTTTTACTAATATCAGTCCGTGAATCCGTGAAAAATGCTTACAATAAATTGAGATGTAGAAAAACATTTGAGAGACAAACATTTCCCCAATATGCTGAGTGTTTCTTTCCTAATGCCTTTCACTCCTATTTTATCTTAAATCAAAAAGTGAGACCCCAGCTTTATGATTTTCTCTTTTGTTTCTACCAGCAGTTTATCATTTGTACCACTGCTAACACTGTATCATGGCTGAGTCTCTCTAAATGAATCTTCCTAAACTAAAATAGCAACAAATAATTCAGAGTCCCAGGTGCTGTTTAAAGCACACTTAAACCACTACCCCATACAGGACACTAAAACAGGTTATGAGAGCTCTGAAGCTGGCCCACGAGCAAATCAAAGAATTTTGTAGGTCAAGGCCCACTGAATCATAATCACCTCTGATTCTGATAAAGCTTCAGATTTACCTTCCAGAAAGTTCTCATACAAATTTCTGAACCAAGGAACAGAGGATAATTCATATTCATAAAAAGTCTATGAGAAATTATTATTAGGTTTTTTTTTTATATTAGTGATACCTTAATCAGGCATTAAGAAAATCACTGTCAACAATTATTTGAATCAGGTGGCAGGGTTGTGACACCTGGTTGCTGGGACCCACTCTCAGTCTATGATTTAGCAGCTCTGGGGCCGCTGGAACATCTGCATTTCTCAAGTCTCCAGTTGATTCCAGTGGTCCCAGAAGCTGTTCTTTCAAAATCACTGGCCTAGAAGGTGACTATTAATTTTAAGTGGCTGGCCTATGAAATATGAGACCCTTGCAAATTCAAGGCAATTGTGTTCTCAGTGTTTCAACCTTTGTTAAGGAGCAAGGGAAATTATTCTGTACCTCTCTGGTTTCTTCTAGACTGCTGAATAATCAAACAGGTATCTTGATAGACTGAAAACAGGTAAAAGGTAAAAAATAAAAATAATAATAATATTTATGCCTCCTGTATACTTGGGAGAAACCCAGCTTGACTAAGTAGTTTCAGATGCTATCTTAAACACCTTCACTAAGGCTGAAGAATTTGGGGGACTGGAAGGGAGAGTCATTTAGGAAAGCACAGTAGACAAAGGTATGCAGGTTTAAGTTCTGTCATCTCCTTAGAAAAGAGATAATAGATCCTCCCTTGGGGCTACCAGCAGCAACTGCCAGGGAGATGACCCACATGGTGTGGCAAACTTCTCCTGTCTCACCTTCTGCTCCTCTCAGCAGTGTATTTCAGTCAATCTGCCTGTTCTGTTCCACGCTCTGTCTCTGGTAGATCCTCTCACACACACACCCCCACCTCTGTCCTGAACCCCAGTTCTGTATGCATAAATGGATACAGGCCAAAGGTGCAGGGGCAGCGAGAGGATTCACCAGAGACTGAACAAGAGAGCAGAAAGGCAGATGGATGAGTACACTGCTGAGGGGAGCAACGGGAGAGACAGGAGAGGTCTGCCATGCCTTGTGGGTCACCTCCAGGGCGGGGATTGAACTCTCACCAAAGTGGCTGTGGCCAGGTCCGCAATGCTGAGCTTTAACCCACTGCGCCACCAGGGAGGGCCATATAAATAAATTTTCAAAAGCAAGTTCCACCCAGCCTTCACAGGCCATGAAATCAAATTTTTGCTGAAGCAGACATTTTGGGTGGCAGATTATTTGCTCCCTTACAGCATATCCGGGGCAAAACAACTTTTACCAAGTGCTGGGAACATCAGACAACCAGGAAGAAAGTTTTCCAGAGCTGTCCAAGTTAGAAACTATTTAAAATCAGATTAATGGAGGGCATACCAGATCAACAAGATAAAAGTTACAATTTTAAGATACCATCAGAAAATGTTACAGATGTGCAAACACAGGAAGTATTCATTACATACTAATAATAGGGTTGTGTTGTGGGTTTTTCAATTTTTTAAGAATTCTCAAATTAACCAATTCATTTGTGAAAACTTACAAAGACGCAATTTGGTGGGCAACCTGGAGTCACCTCAAGCCAGGAGGAGAACCTGAGATATAATAGCTAAAAATGTAATGTTACATGTGTTTAACCCTGGGGATTATTATACTGTGAGTAAAGCTAAAGCTGTTACTAAATTTTGTTACAAATTACTGATGCCATCAGAAAAACTGAACATCACATTAAACATGTTCTTTGAGATACAGATTTCAGCGAAGATTTCATAATAAAATGTCTCATTTAGAATGATCATACTCTACCTTTTTTCTACTTAAGGTGTTCTGGAATCTGAGATATCAGTACACTCTCAGCAGATGTTAAAGTCACACGAACTCTAAGATGAGTATGGTGAAATAAAGATAAAGCTTATAATATTGTCTATCTTCCACATTAGACTGCAAAATCCATGAGAAGCAGGTTCACTACTGGATCCTTGATACACAATTTGCACTCAAAAATATCAACTGAGTGATTGGCTCCAGACACCCATATTCAAAACCTAGTTTTGAGCTTTAGAAATGTATAAAGGTGGTATCATGCATTTCTATCTCAGAATGAATGGGATCTATTAAACACACAAAGTCCTAATTTTAAAAAAAACAAAATGTTAATTGGGAAATATTAACTAAAATAAAACATTGGGGCCTTCCTGGTGGCCTATGGGTTAAGCCTTAGCCCTATCACTGCAAAAGCCCACCACTGTGGCCAGAGTTCAATCCCCGGCCAGGCAGCTGACCCACATATTAGGTATAGATAGCAGACTGCTGTCTCGATCGCTGCTCCCCTCAGCAGTGTACTTCGTCACTCTGCCTGTTCTGCTCCCCACTCTGTCTCTGGTGAATTCTCTCACTGCCCTTGCACCTGTGGCCTGTATCCCAGCTCTGTATGCATAAATAAATGTTTTTAAAAAAACACATTCATGTTTTTCATCTGAATATGGCATTTTTTAACTGGTCAACTAAGTTTTTAAATGCTGGAGCTGGAGGTGCTCTGTGAGCAGGGGAGGAAAGAGGAGAGCATATGGAAGTAGAGGGTCACAGAGAAACATTAGGAAATCACAGCTCACTGAGCCTTACACTAGGATTGCTACATTTAAAGAAGAGATCACCGTTAGAATGAAATTACTACCTTGGATTAATGTGAACCAATTCTTCCAGTTTTCCTTTTCATTATTCTGCATCAGTTGCTAATGGCTCTATTTCCAAACTCAAATGTGTGAGTATATGTGCTTAGGGCAGGAGTTTACACACCACCCAGTATTCAACACCAGCTGGGTGCCCTACAATTCAATTCTGTATTCCCTCCCTGGAGATAGCATCAGACTCCAGAGGTTAGGGACATAGGCCCACAGACTACCTACATTTCAGACACCAGCTTGCTGCAGTACAGGGTGTCACCTGTGCTTCTAGAGATCCAAGGTTCCAACAACTCCTCCTTCACTGAATGTGCTGTAATGGGTCACAGAACTGAGCAATGTTTAACTTACTAGATTACAACTCTATTATAAAAGGATAAAACTCAAGAACATCCCAATAGAAGAGATGTGAGGGCAAGATATGGGGAACGGGCTCAGACCTTCCATGCTTTCTGAGCCACCATTGTCCCAGCACTCCCAGGTGATCACCAATGAGGACTTGGCTATGGGGTCTTTAACTTTACTACTGAAGCTCATAGCCCTGCAGTTACCTGTTCCTATCAAGAGAAGAAAGGAACAAGGAAGTAGAAGGAATATTTCAGGGCTTTAATTGTGAACCTCATTTTGATACAGACCTCTACGAGAATTTAATGACAGCTTCCATGACCCTCATTAGAGGATCTAGAAAAAAATATACAAACAAATGTTGCACACTCTTTTAGTTGTTTCTGAATCCTCTAAAAGTTTATCATGGATCCCAGAATAAATACACCAGCATTAGGGACATAACTACAAACAATTTTAGATAATGTAACATAGCTTTGAATTAACATCACTTTGGAGCCATGCTACCAGACTGACAGGATACCAAAGGCAAAGCCATCAATCAAAGAAGTACTGAAGATCCAAACCAAAGATCCTTCTTTATCAGAAACTGTAGATGATAAAACCATCATGTTAGTTATATACTTTGACATTCAGCAGTCTTGGTATCTTTAATGCCACAGATGACATGCTAGTAGCGGCAGCACTAGCAACAAATGATTTTCAAGCATATATTATGTGTCAAGCACATTCTAAATGCTTTCCAGGAATTCACTTAATCTTTACAATCACCCTAAAGATAAGTACATTTTCCTCAGTTAAAAAAAAAAAAGAGAGGCCCTCCCTGGTGGCGCAGCAGGTTAAAGCACAGCACTGAGAATCTAAAGCCGCGTCCGCATGAGTTCAATTCCCGCCTGCCCCGGAGGAGACCACATGGCGTGGCAGACCTCTCCTGACCCGCCCGCTGCTCCCCTCAGCAGTGTACTTCATTGATCTGCCTGTTCTGTTCCCCACTCTGTCTCTGGTGAAGCCTCTCACCGCCCCTGAGCCTCTGGCCTGTACCCCAGTTCTGTATGCACAAATAAATAAATCTTTAAAAAAAAAAGAGAAATCAGAAGATTTCTAACAGTCTGTGTTAGAGACAGGGCCTAACACAGGCATGTTAGGTTGTGTTATTAATGACTTGTTCCTTGAACACTATTGCCTAGTAGTGTATTTATTAAAATGTATGTAATAATAGACCGCAATGAAATGGAATCCACTAATGTTGGCTGTTAAGAATACTGTATTTTTTTTTTAAAGATTTATTTACTTATGAATACAGAACTGGGGTACAGCCCAAAGGTGCCGGGTGTGGTGAAAGGATTCACTAGAAACAGAGCAGGAGCAAAACAGGCAGATCAATGAAGTACACTGCTGAGGGGAGCAGTGGGCAAGACAGGAGAGGTCTGCCACGCTGTGTGGGTCACTTCCGTGGCTAGGGACAGAATTTGCACTGAAGTGGCTGCAGCTAACTTTAACCAGTTGTGCCACAAGGGAGGGCCCAAGAATACTGTTATTTTCTAATAAATTAGCTGGGAAGGGATTTGATCTTTTTGCAAGAAACACAGCTCAAACCCCAACATGTTTGAACTTCTTCCAAATCTGAAGCATTACTGATCATCTATACTCTAAAGAGATAACATCAACATTGACATTCTTAGACTGTGACTCTCCCTCTTAAAACTTTCTTTCTTGGATTCACTTCAAAAAGCTTTAGTCTTTTTAATAAAAGACATGAAATGATGCAACTGCTGGGAATAAGTATGGAAATTGCCACCCTTTCATCAACTGGCCTGCTCCCTGCCAGGGATCTGAAATGACTTCACCACACACATTCAGCACACTGAATCCCCTCAACCTCGTGGGAACCAAGCCCTCAGGCAGTAAAATCAGGGTGTGGTGAACTCACTCACTTTCAAAACCCATTTTTTTAAACCTGCACAAGCACAGTCCTGGCTGGAACCTGCCTCAGACTTTTTAAACACTTTTAATTAAAGCTGCAATTTGCACTCCACCCTCCCATTCTCCCAGCCTTTCAGAGAATTGGACTGTCACTGAGGCTGGAGGAAGCAGGAATATTTGGACATTGTTCTAAAATTTTCATTCATGTAACTGAAAAACCCATAAGTAACTAGGAATGTCAGCTGAGAAATTGCTGCCATTCTCAAATGCTAATTATTGACAATGTTATCTTATTATTAGAACCTAGCTCCAGGCCACATGTACAAGGAAGCCTAATAAAACTATCATTTAAAAATAACTTGCTTCTAACTAAGATCAAATTTGCTTACAGTGAGGTCTCTGAGTGCTGGGAGAACCTGATTTTACTTTTTTCTGTAAAGCGCCATCAGAACCTTCCACGGCATCTTCAGGGCCTTGCTCAGAATCACTTGATTTTGACTTTCCTGCTTCATTTCTATTGGACTTGTCAAAGTTTTCAGACATTCTCAGTTAAGTTTATCCACGTTCCTAGGAAAAGAAAAAACGATACGTGAACCTAAATGTTTCCCACTCTGTCACTAACAGGTGTGACTCCTGGCAAACCATTTTATTTCCTTTATTTCCTGCTTTTCTTGTCTGTGAAATAAACTGGCTAAGTTCTTAACCACCTATACTATTCTATTCTGGCAATTGAACAGATATCTATAAAATGACACTTATTATTAAAGTTATAGACATGTACATTTGATAGCATGATAGGTTTGAATTTTTTTTAAGATTTATTTATGCAGGGAGGTGAGTGGGGGTGAGAGACAAAAGTGGGGAACAGAACAGTTAGAACTATTGAAATACACTGCTGAGGGGAGCAGAGGGCGAGTCAGAAGAGGTCTGCTGTGCTATGTGGGTCACCTCCCTGGCAGGGGATCCAACTCATGCTGCAGAGGCTGTAGAAAATTTGATAGTGCTACACCTAACTCCTTGTGCCACCAGGGAGGCCTGGGTTTGAATATTTTTGCCTCACTACTGACTATCATGTCACAAGAATGTAGGCCCCTAAACTGTTAAAAAAAAATAACATTATAAACTGCATGCTTCTATTTTTTTTTTAAGATTTATTTATTTGTGCATACAGAACTAGGGTACAGGCCAGAGGCTCAAAGGTGGCGAGAGGCTTCACCAGAGACAGAGTGGGGAGCAGAACAGGCAGATCGACGAAGTACACTGCTGAGGGGAGCAGCAGGCGGGCCAGGAAAGGTCTGCCACACCATGTGGTAATCTACCGGGCTGGCGGGGATCGAACTCATGCGGAAGTGGCTTTAGCTTCTCAGTGCTGTGTTTTAACCCACTGCGCCACCAGGGAGGGCCACATGCTTCTATTTTAATTAGCATGATTCAATTCTTAATTTTTTTACTTTCATTCCTGAGAGTTTAAAGGAAATAATGCTTTTCCATCAAGCTTGCAATTCAAGGCTGAGCAGTTGGGTCCCTGACCCTATTACCTAGATGAGATAGATAGCAGATAGGATATTTTATGAAGCATTTAAGAGGAATGTGCGGGAACTCCTTGCCAGTCAGCAGGAAAGGATGGTGAGAAAAGTAGGAAGTTACAACCATCAAGTTGTGGTTGGTTGGGTGGGGTTTTAATTTTTTTAGTGGCTGATTAGAACAAAAATAACACTTAAGACTTTGGTTTGGGTCAGTTAACAAAGACCTGGAATAGTTGCTTCTTAATTACTGTAAATGTTTTTGTATAAAAAAAAATTTCCTAGTTTTTTCTATGTCTAAGCTGTTTCTAATTAATGGAGAAGAATGTTTCTGCATTTACAATACTGCAAATAATTAGCATTTATAATAATAGCACTTGAAGATCACAAAACATTTTCATAAACACTAATTAGACTTTATTATACACCTGGAAGGTAATCAAAGGATCAAAAGAAAGTCTACTGCTCTTGGGAGATTTGGCAGTCTCTCCTGCACATTAGAGCACGCTTGATAGAATTATCTGAAATTTCAGAGACCTCCTTAAATAGAATGAAGTTACTGGAATGGACATTTTCAGGTCTGTATTATTAATATGAAGGTAGCTTTAATGTATTTTTCCCTTTCTAATCCCACATCACCATTCAACATCCCTCTCCAGACACTCCTTTTTGTCCTAAATCCTATTAGGCTCTGGAAATGCTCCAAGATCCAAAAGATAACATTGCCAGCATATCCTATGAAAAAGGAGGAAGAAAAACACTTCTAATTTTATCCTCTTCACATGCTGAGAATGAGCTCAGGATGAAGTAACTCTGTGCAGTGAGGCGTTTCCATATCTCTGATACTCAGCTTTGTAAATTAACCCTTGCTTTTAAGATTGCCCCACTCCCAGGACATTTCCCCAGCCTCACCAGTGTCTGCACTTTCTCTGGTTACTAGACATATATCATCCATGACTGCCTTAAATCCAATCAAAATATACTTATTTTAAATAGGAACAGAATGATAAAAACATGGTCCAGAGGGGAGACAGACATGTAAGGAACCATGGTGAAACTTAAGTCTTAATGCCATTATGAAATCACTAAGGCAATGAGCACAGGGAGAAACTAATTCTGCCTAGAAGATGGGATATCCTTCCCAGAAAAGGTGATGTTTGAGCTGGTCTTTTTGAAAAGACCAACTGAAAAAAGTATCTGGAGGGGAAGAAGAGGTGAAAAGGAGGGCATGGCACTCAGAGGACACAAGCCAAAGCACTGGAAAATGAAGTAAAGAACAAGGGGAGATGATGATGATAGGCTGATGGGCTTGGGGCCAGATTGTATTATCTGCTAGTTTTTCATTTTTAAAAGACTCTTTACCTAGATTTGTAATGTGTTTAGGGCCAGTGTCAACCAGATTCCCCACACGTGTTCCTCACGTACAAATACATCCCCACAACAGATCCCACCGGGTATTTGTTGACAGCTGTGTGAGCTCCAGACCTCGGATATTCGTGTATGTGAGAGGGATGGAGGTAAGTCTCACACCTGGTACCCAATTCTGACTCTATGAGATGTACAACTTTAGTATCCTCATCTGTAAAATGCAGCTAGCTACTTACCTCTTCCGTTTGGGAGAAGATGAAACGACAGCGTGTGCATAAGCAGCTGGCAACCAACAGGCTTTCCACAAATGACAACTGTAATTATAAGGTTATGCGATGCAGCGAGGCACCATTTAATTGCTTACAGAGTGTTCATTCATTCAACAATCACCAACTCCTACTCTGCCTAAAAAGAGCGCGGGTGGGAGGATCCCCAAACTGGTCCAGAAGATAAGTCTATTTGAGCTGCACACTGGGTCCAGGATGGACACAAGACTCCCCAGCGGAAAGGGTCTTTCCAGAAAGAAAGGGGTTGTCCCCCGACGCCGGAATGACTTCCTCCGGCACTCTGTGCCACTCCCTCTCAGGCTCAGATTCTGTTGTAAACAACAGTTTGGGCCGGCGAGGGAGTGGCCCGGCTAGGCGCAAGGATGGGAGAGTGGGGGCTGGGGGAGTCGTCCTAGAATGGCCTCGAAGAGTAGGACAAAGGCCGCCCAACCCCTCAACCAGCTCGCAGTCCCTGCCTCTTCCTTGCCTCTTCCCGACATCACCAGGATCCGACCCGCAGGGAAAAGAAGAAATGCCTGTGATTTCGACCTCGCGCCTCGCGTTCGCGCCCGCGGGGCTGCGGCTCTCCGCGCCCTCACCTGCCGCGGAGTCTGCGTTCTCCGTCCTGCCGTTCCCGCGGGGAATCTGGCGGGGCGCGATGCGCGGCGGACTGGGGCGACTCAGCCTCTGCCTCTCAGAGGCTGCATCCCTTGCCCTGCTGGGCGCCGTTCTCCCTGCCCGGCTCGGGTGGATACCGCCAGCTGGATCGCTGCTCCGCGTCGGGAAAAGGTGACAGGTCTTATCCGGGAAGCGACCGCCTCTTATAGGGAGGCGCCATATTCCCGTACGGAATTGCTGGCGGTGTGCCCCTGTGCCGGGGGAGGGTGCTCGAAGCCGGGAAGCGCCATGCTTCTGTACGGAAAGCAAAGAAGTGAGGGTCTGCGCCAACAGTGGGTGGGTTGTTCACTGGGTAGAGGTTTGTACCCTGCCGGTGCCCACTCCACCCAGGGCGGCGCCATGTTTCCGTACGGAAGCGGGAGGCGGGGCCGGTGCTTACCTCTGGGAGCCTTGGCTGGAGCGGGCAGGGGGCGGGCGACGCTGGTGTAGAAATGGCACGAACTCAGTCAAGTGAAGAAACGGAAAGGCTGCCGCCGCGTTCTTTGCCTGACCCGTCCAAGTTTTTAAATTTAAATAGTCCGATGTGTTGTGTTCTACACATAGTTTACGCCCCTCCCTTCTTTAGGCTGTCAAAAAAAGTCATCCACCGCCTTGTTTGGCAGGGCTCACTTTAATGGCACGGACTCGGCTTAGTTTGGAGGATCATCTTTTATCTAAGTGAGCGCTACATTTGTTGATTGGAAGAAATAGTCTGAAAAACGCAAGGCAAACGGTTCCTATCAGGGTTGAGCTGGTGTAGGTAGTTCATATACACAAGCTCTAAGGGCATTTTATGTACCTGAAAGGAAAAAATGTTAAGACAAGCATGTTTTGGAACCTCATCTTCCTCAATCCCAGGTAGTGGAGTTTGGAAGCTTGATTATCTCGGCGCTAGACTAGTTGCAACTCCAAGAAAACCATGCATTTCTCAAGCCAAAGCAGTAAAATAACAAACTACACAAACAGAAGTAATTGTGCCTAATCTTAAAATGAAAAAGCCAAGGGGCTGGCTTTTAAAACTGAGCATAAATCATGTTTGCTTCAAGATGGAGGTAATAATCAAGTCTCCTACCTATAACCTATAAAACTAATCAAATTTAATAACTGGAACAAAACGAGATAGAGTGGAATTAGTGCTCTGAAACACTACTAAGTAGATCACATGTGGGCAATTATTCTTTAAGTATTGCAGCTTGAGTGCTGTACAAGGCCCAGTACAGTACACTACCACATTCAAACACACATTTAAGTATTTTCTTAAAAAAGGGAGAGAATTCACTTTAGGAGGAAAAAAAAATCCTTAAGATACTCAACCGGAACTAACATTCTCCAAGAAAACATTCAGTACTCAATTCTGGGTCCAGACTAACCTCTCTAGGTGAGTGGTTCTCAGCCCTAACCACACCTTAGAATTTCCTGGGGCTGGGGTTTCCAAACTCTGGGGGTGATGCCAGGCAGGAATTTTTAAGTCTCCCACGTGATTCTAATGTGCAGCCAGGCTAGAATCATCATCTTCCTGGCAGCTTCTACCTCCCACTTCCACTGTCCTTGTGAGAGTTCCCTATCTTCCTTCAAGGATTAGTACATTTCACTTATGGAGAGGATGTGACAATAACAAAGCCACTGACTTGACATGGAATAGTTTATGTGTAATCTTTTTATATGTTTTGCATTGTTTCCTTTAAGATCTAAGAATATACTAACACATGTTCCAGTTGGTTTTTGGTTACAAGGACAGGAAACTTAAATTACTTAAAAGATAAAGGGACTTTACTACAAGGTTACATAGGGCTTTGGAAGGAGAAAGCTGGCAGCTGCTCTTATATAATCAGCTCTTCATCATCTCCCCAGGACACACACAACTTCCCTTATCACCTCTGTTTCTTGCTGCAGTCTACTTCCTTTCTCTCTCTACATTACAAACTACTTTCTACATTTTTTTTTTCCAGTTTCTGCTTCCTCATTTTCTCTACATGGAATGATTGGCCAAGATTTTGTGCAGTTTCATTAGCCACTAGGTAGGCTGTCTTTGCTTCAGTGCTCACCCCTGGTCTCCTGAGCTAGGCTCTTGTGGAAGGCTACAGTCACCAAGGTTTCAGGTGTGTAAGTGGGGATGGGTCCCCATGAGGACATCATGGATGAGTGAGGCACACAGCAAACAGCAACTGACAGCCTTAGGAACACAAGAGGGTTGCAAAGGAATTCAAGGTAGCACTGGACTTGCAGTTTAAAACTTTTAAAACAATGTTTGCAAAAAACATGACCAATTTTTTAAACATTTTATTCTTGTTCAAGACTTTTGAGAGATAAATTGTAACCTTCCTGGTGTATTTCCCTGCAGCAGACCTCTCCTGCCTTGACAGCTTAACAGTGTGTTTCAATAAATCCCCCTTTTCTGTTAAAAACAAAATTTAAAAAAGTGTATCACTATGAAATTGTTCTTTTAGAATTCTGCTGCTTCTAGGGTCACGAATGTAACTAAGTAGTTCTGCCTTCTCCTGAAGAAATGTTAGCTTTGGTTGCCAAATATGATATTCAATAACGTGCAAAATAAAGGTTGTGAATTAGGCAGTGCACAGTTACTTTGCCAATTTTAGTCACATTTTCAGTAGCTTGTTTCTGAAAATTTCCCCACACCTAAATCATGAACTGTCTTCTTTTACTCATGTTATAGAGCTGCCTTCCCTTAACTATGAAAAAAAAAAGACAGCAAACCCAAAAAACAGATGGTTATTCCATTTTATTGATTTCATGAGTCTTTAACTTTCTTCCATTTGGCAACTCTCCTCCCAGCTCTGCCCATCTGTGACTATGCAGGTGTTTCTCTTTTCTCTCCTTTTCCTTTTAGAATATATATTTTTAAAACTTCCTTTTATAGATTATGCAGTGTTATATTTTAGAAAAAGACTATAGATGGGTTAGCATATTGGAACATTATTTTTCTCTAATTCTTATTTAGAAGTCCAGGTAAAGATACACAATGGGGTTATTACTCAGTCATTTAAAAAGAATGAAATCCTGCCATTTGTGATAGCATAATGTCCTCAAGGTCCACCTGTATTAAGTGAAATAGATCACCTCTATTTAGTGAAACAGGTTAGAGCTCACTTACAAATGGATTCTAAAAAGAAAATGTCAAGCTCATAATTCTTGTTCACAGAGAACAGTGATTTCCAGAGTATGGTAAGGATAAGAAGTATTCAAGAGGTATAAACCCAATTATAAAATAAGTCATGGGATGTAATCTAACATTATAGTTGATACTGTAATGGGTAGTCAAAAGTTAACTAACAATAGGGCTCTTCCTGGTGGCACAGTGGGTTAAAGTGCAGCACTATGAAGCTATTCCAGCCACTGCAGCACAAGTTCGATTCTTTTTTTGTTTTATTTATTTATTTTATTACAAAGTTACAAGTTCGATTCTTGACCCTTAGAAGGGAGTGGGGGGCTGAGGGGATGTGTGTGTGACCTACATGGTACTGCAGACCTCTCCTGTCCTGCCCACTGCTCCCATCAGCAGTGTATTTCAGTAGATCATCTGTTCTGCTCCTCACTCTGTCTCTGGTGAATCTTCTCACCCCCCACACCTCTGGCCTATACCCCAGTTCAGTAAGTATAAATAAATCTTTAAAAAAAAAAGTTAACAGTAAATCTTAAAAGTTCTCATCACAAGAATTTTTCTAACTATATGGTGATCATTTTTCAATTTACATAAACATCAAATCACTATAAGCCATATACAGGATCTAATGTCTACTATACCTTAATTTAAATTGATATATAGTATACAAAAATATCCTTTTAATAAATGAAGAATCTGAAGGTAAAAGATAAAATTCAGACTCATTTTGGACCTCCCTTGTGGTCTAGGGGTTAAGTCTCAGTGCCAACACTGCAAAAACCTAAGCTGGTTCCTAGCCAGGTAGCTGACCCACAAAGGGTGCAGCAGACCTCTCCTGTCTTGCCGCTGTATTTCAGTAGATCCACCAGCTCTGCACCCCACTGTCTCCGGTGAATCCTTTCATTCTCCCCACCTGTGGCCTATACCCCCTGTTCTTTCAAAAATAATACTCAGGCTCATTTTAATCTTTTACTTTCATCATTTTAAAAATAAATAATTTCAAAGTATACTGTAATTGTATCATATTGATGGTGTAACAGTTCCAAAATAATCACTAACTTGGATAAAAATTGCTTTTTAGCTCTTGTGACAAGAAATACAGGACACAGAGAACATGATAAATAATGAAGTGTTGCAACTAGCAAAAATCCAGATTGTACTAAACAAGAACTGACCAACTTATTCTACAAGGAGAGAAAGAAATATAAATGGAGGAGGAGGGCAGACGGATAGGGAAGAAACTACAGATAAAAAGAAACTTAAGGTTGTCAGACCCTCCCTGGTGGTGCAACAGGCTGAAGTGCAGCACTAGGAAGCCAGGCACAGCCAGTTCAGCATGAGTTCCATCCCCTCACCTGGGGGTGACGCACATGGCACAGCAGAACCCTCCTGTCTGGCCCACTGCTCCCCTCAGCAGTGTATTTCAGTCAATCTGCCTGTTTTGCTCCTTATTCTGTCTCTGGTAAATCCTCTAACCTCCTGTACCTCTGGCCTGTACCCCAGTTCTTTATGAATAAATAAATCTTAAAAAAAAAAAAAGGAAGCATGTCAATGAGCTGTAATGTATGGACATTTTGGGATCCCTACTACCTACCTGAATAAACTGTCAAAATCATTTGAGGTCTGAAAATTTGAAATGATTGCATATTTGATATTAAGGAATGATAGATTTGTAAGTGATATTGTGGCTGTTTCTGCTGTTATTACCTTTTAACTGAATGTATAAAAATTTTATAGATTGAAGAGATGTTTGAAATTTGCTGGGATGGGAGCAATGTGGGAAGAAGAAGACTGGCCTAGAGGTGACAGTCATAGACGTACGTCTATGTGAAATTTTCCACAGTAAGATTCGAAAGATGTTGAGGTTTTCAAAAGCATCAGGACTGTTCAGCTCTGACCTATCTACAGTTTATGGTAATGAACAAATTCACTTTATCAAAGCATAAGCTTCTATCTTATATTAAGGAGTACCTTTCAAGATATAAAACATACTCTTATTAACATGTAATTACAGGCTTCCTTACTGTTTAATACTTCTTATATAAACTCTG